CACAGCGTCATGGGTGCTGGATGTGCCCCCCCTTGCAAGGTCTGTGGATGCTGGGTACCACCCACCTTCACAGCACCACAGGGGGGTTCATGCCCACCTCACCATCAGCCCCACAAGCATCCTGGCCCCCCAGATCACCCCCGCAGCACAGCCCCTCTTCCAACAGACAGAGGCTCCAGCAACCCCAGGCACACCGTAGCAGTGCTGCAATTTACCTGGAAAACCCCCAAATTATCCCGACTCCGTGCCCTGCATCACCCTTTCCACTGTGGTTTTCCATCTCTGTCTGCTGGGGGGGATCTTCCACGTCCCCTGCAGTTGTGCCTCCCCGGTTCCTGGCTCTGGCCATGGCTACCAGTGGGATCGTGGACGGTGCCCACGGGCTGGACGCGGTGCCGGTGAAGTGACTGCTCCAAGGTGACGGCAGCGCTTTGGTGGCACAGGCAGGAGCTCAGCACCGCTGCCGAATCCCGTCCGTGGGGGTCCTCAGGGGCTCCGCAGCGCCCGGGGCCACACGTTTGGCTTTGAAGATGCCGCGACTGCGCACGGCTGCCTCAATCCCGCTGGAAATCCAGATTTGGTGCTCCGCATCCTCCTTCGCGCTCTCACAACCGTTCTTCCAGGAACATCACGTGCTCCCCAACTAATTTTAGCACAAAATAATTGTTGCACATCCTCGGGTATCGAAAGCCGGCAAGACGGCACCGTGCATCTGTCGAGTTCCTCCGCAAGGAAATGCCTGCGTCCCCACGGGGGAACAGGGCTGGAGGGCAGCTGTGCCCCAGCACCGCTGGCCCCTGCTCCTCCGTGAGCCCCAACCAGGGGCTGCCAAACTCAGGGGATTAACCCATGGAGAGGCAGAATCAGCTCCGCTTGTTGTAGGTCTGGGTGGGGAAGATTGAGGACGAGAGGGTGCTTAATAACGGGGTCCCTGGTGTGGGTCTCCAGGGTGAGGATGCTGGAGCATCACTGGGCTTTCTTGCCTCCGCCGTGGGGCTCGAGGGAGCAGGGCAGGTTGGGGTTGGTGCCGAGGTGCAGGAGCAGCGGGTGGAGCGAGGCTGTGGCTGGTTGTGCCGTTGGGGATCGGCTTCAGGGTCGTCGGAGCTGGTGGGAAGCTCTCAAATCCCTTCAACTCCGGGAAGAGCCCTGGAGACCTAAATCGGGGAAGATCGGTCAAAGCCTGAGACAAACAGGGACACCCCAAGTCTTGGCTTGACAGCTTTCTCATACGAAGCCATTTGTTCCCTCCCTGCCTCAGTTTCCCATCTGTGACATATGAGGGTGTCTGGAATGGGAACGTCAGAACAACAGCCACAAAAGTCAGTCTGTGTTCTTCCCCAGAGACAGTTATTCTGTGTGAAAACGGAGGGGGTGAACTCCACCTTTCTCCTTCACAACAATTTCCCACCAACACGAGGATTGCTCGGGGGGCCCCCGATAAAGCCCAGGAGGTTCAGTCTCTCATAGACAAACAGGGACACAGGGAACGAACTAAGACTGAACTATCTGAGCACTGTCCCCAAACATAAACGGAATTTTCTGTGGCAAATCATACCAAAAAAAAAAATTGACGGTCATTAGAAGATAATTTCCCATCGAGAAATTGCTTCGGTAGGAAATTTCCAAGCAGCCTCGTTACTGTTTACCTCCCCTGCAAGTGCCTCGTTGGGGACGTCCGTCCCCACACTCCCGGCATCCTCCACGTGTCTCCAGACCACGGCGCGGTGGGACGCGGGGACGGCTGCGGGCGAAGGCAAATCCCGGCGGCAGCAGCTCCCCAAGAAGATGCGATAGAGAAAATTACTCAGCAGAAGTGGCGAGATTAGAGCAGGCGCTTCAGAGCATTTATTTTTAAAGCACGGTAAGAAATTGAGTTCTTCCTTTTTGAGGCTCGTTTCTTGTCTAGCCATAGCAATTGCAATTAGATGCGTTTCAGGGGCATTAGGCAGTTAATATATTTATCAAATTATTCACGTAATTTAGCATGGCTTTAGCTGGGAAGAACTGTGCCTTGAGAGGGTAAAATGAGAATTAACCACTATTAGCGTGCACCCCCTTGAAGTAATTTGGCGTTTCATCAGTGATTAATAAGTTGCAGGTTTGTCTAAATGTCCCGACGTGTTTTCCTTGCCAGCTGGTCCCCTCCAGCAGAAGACACTCAGCCATTCTTGGAGTCGCTGTCCCCAGGGAGACGCTGTCCGGGGTGTGCTCTGGGCTCGGAGGGAATGGAGTGCGTTCAGCACGATGGAATACAGGTGGTGGTGTGTGTTGTGCCCACGGAACCCCGAACATGGTACCTTGCTCCTGCCTAAACGCGTGAGGCACGACCACCCATCTGCTCTCCACCGTGTCCAGCGAGGGAGGGCCGAGTGGGGACGTGCCCGTGCCCTCCTCGTCTCTGCAGGGCAGGAAAGCGATTCCAGAGGTGGTTTG